TAATCTGGTAACCTGAGGGGAATGAATTTATCTTCCTCATTTGCCTCTCAGAGCTGTAAAACCTTGAAGATATTATTTGAACTCACCAGGATATTTTAGGCAGGTAAAGATGAAAAACAGAAGTCAGGCAGATCCTGTGAGAGCAGAACAGCTGGAGGGACTTCCCTAGGAACCTAAATACCTTCAAGCCAAGTGCCTCAGTTTCTCCTCTGGAAAATGGTTATAAGGATAATGGTGTACTCAGCAAGTTGCAGGGTGTTGTCCTGTGAGAGCAACTAGAGCAGCACTTGGGCAGCCAGACCCTTCCCAGTGGCTCTGGGAGCACCCATGTTTGTTACTCGTGCCAATGCTCCTCATGCAGAAGGCACAGGACAAGTACAGGGGTGTTAAATAACATAAGAGTCCCTGATCCCTAACAGGTCACCAGGATGACTATAGAAATTCGGTAGGATTTTCCAGTATAAGGTAGGAAGTTCTCCAGCTGGGTTTGCTGTTTATAATTCCTCCAGCTAAGATTGCATCTTAGATTCCTTTTAGATATTCTGAGTTGTGTGTTTTAAGGTTGTCATGTTAGACTTCATTTCTCTATTGCTATGGTTACCATAAGTAAGGTTGTCTCCATAAGTTACCAGGAAAGAGACAGTAAAAGAAATGTTAATTTCTTGAGAGCTAGTCATGAGATAGATAGATAGATAGATAGATAGATAGATAGATAGATAGATAGATAGATATAGATATAGTTACATATATAACTATATAGCTATGATATATAGCTGCATAGAGTGAAAATAAAGGAGAAGAAAAATGTGACTAAGCCAAAATTACAGAAAACATTAAATAATTGCATAACTACCACTCAGCTTAAGAACTTCAATGACATTGCACTATAAACAATAACTATGTTCAAGGAAATCCAAAGCTGTGTTTTGAGAACTGTAACTGCTATTCTTCATCTGGTCTCAGCCACAAAAACCATAGTCTGGAGCTACTGCATACTCCTCAGGAAGGGTTTCTGAGCTTTCAAAATTACCACACTCATAAGAGGAAACTGAGGGAGCCAGTTTGTACTTCAGATGAGAGTTCAGAAAGTAAATCCAAGGATGTGGGTAATATTGAGTTAGATAGGAGTTTCATTGATTGAATAATCTATAGCTGCAGAAAGTACAGCTATTTTTCTACTGAGTTTCACTTATCTGACTTTCTTCTGAGGAAAGCTTTTATGGGGTACATCTATCAGATTGGACACAGAGGCACAATGCTCATCGGCGTATGTCCATTAAACTGTAATGAAACTACAACGTAAGTAGCACTTCAACTGTCTTATTTTTATATACTTTAAGTTTATATCATTATCTTCAGGTACTTTCATTCTTTAATACATCTGCAGCATACTAAACTTTGAGGCAGATAACTACATCCAAAAAAAAAGGATAGAGTTTTGATAGGAAATGTGTATTTTTCTCAATTGATGACCTAGGCTGGAGTTCCAGCCTCAGTCACAAGCCACAAACTCCCCAAACTTCAGGAATTTTATTAAAAATTCATAAGACAGGTTAATTAAACTCTGGTGTTATTTTCTGTCTTCCCTTGAGCTCCCTGGAGTAGACTCACTGGAAAGATCCCATCACTTAGGCATTAGGCACTCATTTGGGACATGGCAGATGTGGACTCCAGTCTGTGTTCTAATTTACAGCGAAAGAATTGTCTTATGGTCTCCTGAATAGCAGGGGACTATGTTAATATCTAATCTATAATCTTCCTTCACAAGTAATGGTAAAAGGCCTAGGGAATGTTTTCATCACTTTGAGGGACCCATGATTTTTGTTACATTTTCTCCTGATTTGGGAAATGGCAGCTTTTCAACAAGCAAATGATTTGCCAACCAAAAATAAAAATAACAAACAGCCCTTTAAAAGTACCTATTGCTTGTTTTGCCAGCAGTTTTGAAAAAGGAAAATTAAAGACCTTATTAAAGTCCCTTAGCAGATTTCAGTAGGGAATGAACTTGACTTTCTGGCTTCATCAGCCTCAATTTTGTTTTCAGAAAACTGAATGGGCTTTAGCTGCATAAATCCCACTCTTATGCATATGAGTTCTATGGCTAAAACAAAAATGGCTTTTACACAACACCTTATCTTCTTTAGTTAAGGACTTTTTGGTTGAGTTTCATGCTGTTGGCATGTTGCATGTAAATAATTTGTTCATCTACTGCAGCTTGTCCATCAGCCTACAGAACACGGTACTCCAGCTTTGTGCTTAGCAAAAAGTCATTATGAAGTCATTATGAAGCTCGCAGGTAACTGCCTATTAATAGCTAATTCATCATGACTGCACTTTTAATCTCATTGTGAACAATGCTACTAGTTCCACTGGCTTGAATAGTAGGGTTTGGCCTGTTAGAATGATTAATATGTATCTTCTCACGTTCACCAGGGAACCAGTAGGTTTGGCAATGCCCCATGTGCCAAGTGCTGCATTTCACTGGTGCACCTGCTTGATAGGCTGTTAGAGAGGAATGTCTCAAGCCACATAACTGCCCTGACAATGCCCATTGGGGTCTGAGGGACCTCTCCAGGGCATGGCATTGGTGCATCCTGGGGATGGGGCTGTCCTTAGTCGTGCTGCTTCCTTAAATTATTTCACAAAGGTTGTTCTCTTTCAGCCAGGACTGTCTTGCCAGCCTTGCACACCTCCTGTAGGCACCAGCCCAGGTCCAGTTACTGAATCCTACCTCTCTGTTTCCATGATGGTGGGAACTGCTTCCTCAGGCCTTTTCTGATGTTCCAGAAAAAAACTGAAGCCCCCCAGGAAAGGGTTAATTAGTTAATAGTTAGATGCTTCATTGATTAAATAATGTGTGGCATGTTTACATATTTATATTCAAAGCATTTCAAAGTTTGCTTTTTCTCTCAAAAGAACAATAGCAACAACTCCTCTTCCAAATTTCAAGCTTCCAGTCCATCACTTCTTTTGCCCCATGATTTCATCCTTCAGGCTTCCAGTTTGATTGCTGTTAAAGGTTTAAGAAGTTAAAATTGACCTTGACCTGCAAACATGTGATTTACAGTAGATGATATTGTTCTGGAAAAACAAAACTTCTGTCCTGAAGCTAAACTGCATTTAATGATTAATATTACTGCACCTGGGCCAAGTTCTGGCATATTTACTAACACTGTACATTATTTTAACTCCTCCTGAAGCTCCACTGATTTTGGAGGCACTCTTCCAAAGTGAGGCAGATTCACAATATGAATAAATATACAAACATGTGGTCCTCTAATATATTGTCATGATTTTGAAGATAAATTCTTTGATCACTTCTAACCTTGTCTCCAGATCTGTTTGTAAAGTCCTTGCAAATTATTCAAGCATATTTTTAAAATACACAGATACTGCCTGCTTTCTTAAAAAGAAATCCCTACTGGCAGTATCATGAGATATTGGAATATAATACATATGTTTGTGCTGGAAGAGAAAAAGTCCTCTTTCTGCTTTGGAAATTATGAAATATGTTCTTGTTGAAGACTTTAATGGGGTAGGGTTAAAATCACAGGGAATTACACAAATAATTGTAAAATTGTGAAAGAATATACTTCTAGTGTCCCTGCGAAGTTTGGAACAATGTGTGTTAAAGAGACCAAACTGGCATTGGAGTGTTCCTGGTACTATTGGTACCTTTTATCTTTTTTTGGCATGTCTTTAGGAAAGAACAGAGAAAGAAAAATATGAAATTGAACACAGCAAATTTAATTGTAAAACAAAGCCACCCACCTTGCTGTCAGGGTCAGGAAGTATAATCGCCTCCTTTTGACGCAAGAATGAGCTTAACAACATATGTTAAATGAACAATTATTTAAAATAAAAGGAAATTGCCTTAAAAACAGCTGCAGTATCTCAGACTGCAGCAGTGCAGAAAAACAGACCATTGTGGAAGGAAGGCACATGCACAAACGAGAGCACTCCTACAACCCTGTGCTGTGACAAAAGCTTTGCTCTTGACAAATTATTTCACAGAATGCTCTTAAATATCTCACTTGTATTTGATCTCAGCAGTTTATTCTGCTTTTGATTTTTTTAATGTTTGTTTATTTTAGTCTTTCTTTTTTCTGTGTAATTATTTGTTGGCTGCATGACTAAATCCTAACGCCCAAAGCCACTGTTTACTGCACAATGGCACGATGACATTGGGTGTTCTCCAGTAAATTGTGTTTCGCTGAGTGTCGCAAGCACTGGAAACGCCACAGCAAACGCATCAGCGTTAGATGCACACCTAAGAAGAATAAAAAGAAAAGAGCTATTTGCACCAGAATAAATCCATTTCTCTTGAAAGCACCGGGAGTCACCTGATCGAGCCCGGAGCCTCCCGGATAACGCAGCACCAGCCTACAATGGGAAAGAAATTAAGCAGGGCTGCCTCCGCCTCGCACACGCCTTTTAGCCTGTCGACGCGTTGCCTGTCCGTATCCCTCACAGCGCATCTGTAGAGCCATTAAATTGGATAATCCCTCTGGCCTTTGATACATTTCTGGACATGATTATTTCATTACTCGCAGTATATCAGTAGGATCATAATAAAAAGGACTTCTGACAACCTGCCAAGAGTTTTGTGGCCTTGTAAACACAAAAGTGCTCTAATAAAATTTTATTAAGTGTTAAAAAGTCATAAAAAGTGAAATAACATAAACTACAAAATTTACTGTCCTCAGCAAATGCTGAAAATATCGTCCATAGTAAAATTAAATTAGCATGTAATAGCGCAGCAGCGTGGAGTGGGCTTGAAAGAGGATCCAGGAGGAAAAAAAAAGGTGGGGAGGAGGGAGCGGAAAAGAAAAAAAAAAGAAAGATTGCACTTGAACTGCATACGGGTCACGGGGGGTTCGTTTATGGCGATCCCCGCGTGTTCCCGGCGGGCCGCGGGGACGGGGCGCGGGGCGCGGCTCGCCGCCAGGCGGCGCTGTGGGAGCGGGAATGCGCCGGGCTCCGCGCCGCGACCCCCGCGGGCCGCCGGGAGCGCCCCCCGCCCCAGAAATGAGCCATTTACGGGGATTTTGGCGTCTTCTTGCAAATCAAAAAAAAAAAAAAGATGGTGCGAGGAAAACAATACGGGTATATCTGGGCTGGAAGGCTCCTGGAGGGGCAGGCAGCGCTGAGCGGGCTCCCGACGGCTTGGGCCGCGCCGCCGCCCCGGCTCCCCCGCGCCCGGGGCAGGGCGTCCCGTGGCGGGGCGGGCGAGGCTGCCGGGAGAGCTGCTCGCCCTCTGCGCCTCCGGGCCGCCGCAGGAGCCAGGTAAGGTCAGCCTTTTCGTCGCCGTCGGTGCTGCTCAGGGAGAGGGCACGGTCGGGACGGGACCGGGCGAGCATCGCCGCACACGGCCGCGGCGGGGCGGCGGACACAGCGGGACGGGACGGGACAGGACGGGACGGGACGGGACAAGCTGACGCCGCTCGCCGTGCTCCCCCCGTGCCGTGCCGGCCGTCCTTGCCCGTGGGAAGGGGCCACGCTTGTGTCCCGGCTGCTTCGGGGCCGGCAGCGCCCGGTTTCTGGGGTGCGGGCATTGAGGAAGCCGGCGAGGCGGCGGTGCCAGGTTCTCGGGGCATCGCTTCTCCCCGGGATGTCCGTCCCCTGATGCTCCGTCGGGATTTGCCCGTGGCTGGCCGGGAAGGAAGCGACCACGCTGCCGTCACATGGAACCGCTTTTGCCAGAGCCGCCCGAAACTTAATGCGGGAGGGGGGAGAGAGAGGGAGGGGGGAAAGAGGGAGGGAGGGGAGTAATAGTAATAAAACAAGGAAATTGTGGGTAGAAGATATTTTAAGTTTCGTTTCGTTCAGGTGAAGAGGATAGCTGCTTCTCATGTGGCAAGGCTGATGTTCAAGGCCACTGTACGAAAAATAGTGACTCGCTGCCTGAGCCTGGCTTGTCTTTGAGCCTGAGCTGGCGCTCGCTGAAGTGCGGCCGGAGCAGCCCCGGCAGGGAGCGGGCAGTGAGGGATCCATAAGGGAAAGCTGGCTGGAAAACAGACGATATATGAGCAGGAACAACGAGCCTCGTTCTCATTAAGAGGAAAAAAATAACCATGAAGTTAGTTTTAGTAGAAATTCTAACAACTCTGTGCATTTCAGTCACTTTAAATCTCTGCACTGTGTATAAGGCAGGATTACAAAGAAAAAACAAAAACAGTATAGTTATTTATTTTGGGACATCTGAATGAACGGGAAAGTTGTAGGTATAGTATAGAGCAGTGCTTGCTTTAGCTCGGCTGCCTTGAATTAAGACTAGTTTCTAAAAATAGCTATTTCTGTTTGCACATAATTGGCTCACTGCATGTGCAGACCATACAGCCTTAAAATGCATATTTATCTCACTGATTCAAAACTTGTAATGTTTTATATACCCTCATGTTTGTCACCTCTGATTAAGACAATGGGGATATTGCTTGGTAATTCACTATGCATTTACTGACAAATTACAGAAATAAAATACATTTGGAAAAGGAGCAAAGCCTTTACTTTTCTTCCACCTCAGATTTTTATATAAATCTTCCATAATTTTACAGTAATGACTGCAGTTACTAATGCTCACAGAAAGTTGTACTTTTTAAGCAGAAGAAAACAACCATGTCACATTGTCTACTGCATTTTTTAAGAATCTGAGATCTACACCATCCGTGGAAACACACACGTTTTCAATGAAAGCTAAATAATGATTTTCTTTTCTCTCTAATTAAATTTTAAGTCTTCTCTCACCAAATATAATGTAAAGGCTGCAAAAATGCAAACAGAAAGTGCAGCAGCACTGTGATCAAAGCTTTGAACTTAGATGAATTAAAAAGTCAGCAAAGCACTACAGAATTCCACATACATGTGGCTAAGGTGTGTGCATGCCTGCATAACTTTGAAGAGTTTTTAAGTGAAATGAAGGGGTTTGGAATTAGTTTTCTTTACTGAAAGGCTTTCCAGGATCAATGCTAATGTTTGTTGGATTTTGGAAACATTCCTGGGAATTCCCTCTTTAGGCTATGGTGTGCAGAATACTTTTATTTTTAAATATGGTCTTAAAAACATAACTCTTGTCATCTGGCTGATCAGCTGTTTGCTATTTTGTGCTGCTCTCTGCCTGAGCAAGTACTTGTAAAATATCACAACACAAAGAATCAAGAATCCCATTTGCTCCCTGGGGTTTACGGACATGCTTAGGAATCAGGGTACATGCTTAAGTGTGCAGCATCCAGGTTTCAGTGGTAAGAGAAACTTTTTTTCCTAAGTTTAGCATTCTAGTTTGTAGTGAGTGGTTTTGAGTATGCAGCATTACTTCCACAGTGGAATTTTTATATGAGCTCAATGTGATGTAAAATTCAAAAGATAAAGATACGCCAGGAGACTGTAGGTATGTTTAAATGGACATATTAAATGTTCAATGTGCAAATGTCTGACACTGCCCCAGACAAGGCTGGAACTCCTGTTGTTTACATCCAGCCTCATCCCTGGTCGTTCCGTATCCGACACTGCCTTGCAATTCCAGCTGTGACAAGCAAGCACTGGAGCTCTGCCTAGGGAAGGTTGCAGGCTGCCTGTCAGAAGGGGCTCAGAGGGTGAGGAAGGAAAGCCCAGTCACGGCAGAGTGCAGTACTTGCAGTAGGCAGGATGGAAATTATCTGGGCTCCACCACTGGGGCTGCACATAGGGCACTTTTTTGGCAAGGTTTCTTTAAATGCTTGCAGAATTTAAAGGCATGCACCATCCAACAGAGGCCTACCTTGCAATACATTAACCAGATCTTTCTAGGTTGATTAATAGCTTCAGTCTTTTGTTGATGGATTTTTATTTTTGCTTTTTTTTTTTTTTTTCCTTGCTGCGATACAGCTGGACCCTATGCTACAGAAAGAGATAATGGATGAAATCTTGGCTCTCCTGAAGTCAGTCACAAAACTCACTGACTTCATTGGAGCCACGTTTTTATCAACTGCTTCATAATACTTTGTATCAGCCATATGGAGGAGATTTAAAATTGGCTTTAGAAGAAATAGAAATTAGCTTCTCCACAAATGATTTGCATGGGTTATCTGGGGGGCTTTTCTCCAGGTAACATAAATGGCAACACAAAGTATAAACTGCCAAAAAGACAAATAGGTATATAACATTTTGATTTCCTGTAACTAGAGCATAACTCAACTAAAATATTATCTTAAAATCAACAAGGTTTGATTACTCTGTGTAAGACCACCAGGTCTGATGTCGATGATGCAAGGGCATGGGAAGACATTAAAGGCACAACAGGCTATTTGCTGTTCATGACACGTTTTAGAAGATGTGAAACTGTGTGTCAATGATGCTGTAACACGAGAGGCAGTGAGTTAAGCAGGAGGGACAGTATTAATTCACAGCTCTTGCTTTTGTATATTTAGTGTTATTGAATTGTACTTCCCCTTGATATTTTAAACAGATGCATCATAATGGACTTCTCAAAATCTGATTTAAACCATAACACCAGGAAGTACAGTTTTGCTAAAAGGGGAGGGAGGGAAAAAGAAACTGCTGGACTCCCTGCCACTGCCACAGTTGTCTTTTCACAGACAGTTTTTTCTGATCCATTAGCCTGCCAGACAAGGATGGCACCTATCCAGTGTAAATATTACATTTTCAACATTTGGATGGCATTTTGAGCAATATTTCTTATCCCCTGAGAGTGTACACTTTATAAATACAATATTATCTGCAATTCAGAGCTAGGTTGTGGTAGGATATGACTTTATAATGCAAAAGATATTTAAAGAACGCTGTGTATGGACTCACTTACTGAAGAATAAAACTTCTTCCTCTCAGTTATTTTAATTTACAGTGAAAATTACTTAAGCACAGCATCAAACACTTTTTTTTTTTTTTTTTGGAAAGGAGGATCCAGACATGATTTTAGAGGAATAATTCCAAGTGTAGACAAGATCGGTTGCTACTGTTCAGCATAATCTGCACTGTGCATATCTTGAAGTGGAAAGCCACACTAGCATTTTTGGGAGCTAATATCCTCATTGGACTAAACTCTTCACTGTATATATTCCAGTAATATCCCACTAACAGTGCCAGATGCTGACAGAACTCCATGTTGGAAATAATTATGGAAGTGAGTCAATCCTCATCCATTGCAAGCAGTGAATCTTCTTTGAGCAAGAACTTGTTCTGACATTCCCTCTCTGCTTTAAATCCTCTTTCTTGTCAAAGGGAAAATCGGCCATATTTGGATGGAGCCCCAGTATTTCTTTGTGTTTGTTGTTCTAAGTAGAAACAACATAGCTGGTTTGGATAGTCTTGTGTAGGGAAGGAGGAACCACACCCAGACACAGCAGTTCTATCACATGCTTAGGCTGAACTATACACCCTGAAATTTGTGTTTGCAGTGAAAAAACACGACCCATCTTAACTACAGGAGAATTGCTTAGGACTGTTTTAATGTATACCAGATAGAGTCCATTCCATTAAATATAATCCTGATAATACTAGTTCCACATTTTTCTGGTTGTAGGTATTTTCCATGCTCATTTTCTATTATTTTAAAAGAAAGTCCTGATTTCCTGATTTAGAAGTACAGAGCAATGCTCTGTCTCCTGTTCAGTTTCCCACCTTCCCTTCAGTACGTGGCTCATGATCCTTTTTGTCTTTGGCCTTATATTTACACCCTTTAATAAAGCATTATCAGCTGCTGGGTGATTGTCATTTGCCAGTTGCTGCCTGCAGATACCAAACATGGAGGTCTGGTAGTGGAGGGCAGGTCATGGAGCCAAGCAAAGAGAAAGCCCCACACCCACCTGGGTACAGCAGCAAACTGAAAAAGAAATTGCAGATTTTCATAATGAAAAGCTGGGTAGGGAAATTCATGGCTTTCAGGCTGGTAGAAGTGCTTTATTGTGGTCCTGAAGGAGAGACACATCAGTGTGACTGGCTGAGTCCCGGCTTGTAGTCAGAGCTGGGGAGTCCCTGCTGGGGGGGCTGTGGCTTTCCAGGAGCCCGTGGAATGCCCTGTGTGCCCCAGCACAGGCAGCCAGGGCACAGTTCTGTCTGGCAGAGAATCAGATCTTACATTTCAGCCTTTGTTGCTGCAAAAATAACCTTGGAAATAAGAAGCCTGAGTAAACTAAGGAGCTGGCAGGAAGTTTGGAATAATAGTTCTGAGAAGTATGAACTGTGCCCATCAAATGTGATACCTTAGAGGCCTGATAACAATGCATTCAGTGGCAGGCAATATTAACTATTAATGGCAAGCCCAATGGTAACACAAATAACTGGCTAACCTGCTC